TGAGATGTGCCTTTATTATTCTGCAAAAGAGAGGGGAAGAAAAGAGGGTAAAGGGAGCACTGGTGCATTTCTATATCTGGATGATTTCAGGAATTATTAAAAGCAGATTGATTTATTACATCTGTGATTCCACGGGATTCAGCAAAATGTTTGATTGTTTTGGCTTTGAAGCAGCTACATCTTCATATTATTTTTAAATAGTTTGTTGAAGACTTTTTAAATAGTTTGTTGAAGCTGCACAGGCAATTTCATCTAAGGGTGGCAAAGGATGACCCAGTATCCCTGTGAGAAAAATTATTGTTTGAAATTAAATCTATTATAAAATAATGTTGCTTGCAGAATAAGACATTTTATTTAACTCTTAATTAAGTGGTTTTGCAAGTTACTAGGAGTCTACTGAGATCAAAGCACTACAGGAATATAAGTTACTATTGCTATGATGGGATTTAAATATTTTATGCAGAAAAAGGAAAATGTTCTTATCAAAGAGTTTAAGGAAGCAGCTGAGGTGAAGGTGAATAAGAAGGCCAAAGGTGCAGAGCACATGGACTTTGTTTGCTGGCTGTGATTAGATATCACTAATGGGTTTTGTGAGGGGTTTTAAGGCTGGAAAGAACCATTCCATCCATCAGCCTCACTTCTTACATGGCATAAAATGCTTAAATTTGGATTAGCTGCAGTCTACTGGCTTGTTAATTATTGCAGGGCAAAGGACAGATTGCTTTACCTGCAATCACAGGGAGCCGAGCTGCCACCCTGAATCTGAGAGCTCATTTCCAATACAAGCTGTGAAAAACTCCGTGTTAGGTATCCCAGGCTGGCCCCACATCTTTGTCCGTGAGTGTTGAGAGTTGAGAGCAGCCCTTGCAGAAGAGCACGTGAGCAATCCAGAGATGAACTCGATTTTGTGCCTGCAGGAGGGTGTTCCACAAGTTGTGCCGAGGTGGAGCTGGGGTCTCGTTCAGGACCCATCTTTTGTCTTTGTTTTGCAGCCCTGGTCGTGCGCTTCCTCACAAAGAGATTTATTGGGGACTACGAAGCCAACACTGGTGAGTTCTGCTCTCCCCAGCAGCACTGCAGAGAGCTGGAAAAGAAATCCCCTCTGTTTTGTGGCTGGTGCACGTTACAGGGAAGCCAAGTGGTGTTAGATGTCCATAAGGTGCATATTTTCAGTTAATAGCCTCGAGCTATGAAAGCAATAAATCAAAGGCTCATTATTTATGATCCTTTCAGCTGTTTTTTTTTCCCCAAGTTGATGGAAAAGGATCAGAGTAAAAGCTTTGCTTGGGGACATACCTATACTGAAACACAGGCTCAAGGAACAAACTACACATCAACTAAACCACAGAAACCCAGTGCTGCTCCCCCTGCAACCCCAGGGAGGGCAGAGGAATTCTGAGGGGTGGAAAAGGTAGTTCAGAACTTTTTCTGTGCATTCCCTTTATTTCGGGGGCTTTAATAACCAGGGAGACTTCGAAATTGAAGCCTTCTCTGCATAAGACAAGCAAAGCAACCATTCCTTTCTTGTTTAATCCAGGCATTGTGTTCATGTGAGCTGGTTCAGGAAAACTCTGACCGATTTGGCCAGTGCTGTAGGATTGGATCCATGGCATCCCACAAATCGGTCGCCTCACATTTCTGGGGTGAAGGTGGGCAGAATTCAGAAAATGCTTCACTTTGGAGATGCTTGCTGAGCTGAGGATGAGGAGGGAGCAGCACAAGACACCTCTGATGTGAGGAAATGCAATCTGAAAGCTGCCCCTCACTGACCCCGAGTAACCCTGATGGTTGGCTGCACTTTTGCTCCTTCTCTCGTGTCACCTCTTCTCTGGGAGGTTGTACATCAAGTGGGAGCTGGGAGCTGTGCAGTGATTGCAGCCAGAGCCAGTGCTGGGACCCACGTGCTTTTCCCATGAAGCTCCCAGGCCCATGGCCATGCTGCAGGAAAAGTGAATATTCCAGCAAGAAGGAACAGGTGGCAGTGCCCTTGGGGTCACCCAGCCCTGCTTCTCCTTGTGCCAGCATCACCAGGCAGAGCAGGGGCAGTGCCTGGCAGCACCTGCTCTTTGTTCTGCAGGGCATCATGCAATGGGAACAGGGGCTTGTCTGCTCTTCCTTCAGGGGTGCAGTGTCTTCTCATAAAACCATCTTTACAGCTTTAAATCAGGTCTGATTTTAAAATACAAACTAAATCCCACCAGGGCTGGATCCCCTCACAGTATTAAACCACTATAGGAAATGTGAGATTCAGTGCTAATTTCCTTGTGTTGAAAACGCTCTGTGAGCTCAGACTCTTTTCCACTGGAATAAAACCACTTGTTTGCTTGAATCAAAGCTGATTTTCAGAAGTGAGGACATTACTGTCACTAGCCGGGCTCCCTGTTGATCTGAATTCCTCACTCTCCAGTGGGTGGGTTTCTCCACGTTTGACATTGTTCTGGAGGCAGCAGTGACAATTGTGCTGGGGTAAGACAGAAGGGCTGTACACAGCAGCTGTGGATTAGCATTTCTTCACAGCCCCACGTGACTTGTGTTAAATTCTAAAGAAAAACGATGATGACATCAACCTCTGAAGCTGACCTTGTCCCAACCACAGAGTTCATAAGATCAAGACTTAGATTTTCATTGTCATTTAACTCAGCTGCAGTAACAAAATAAAGTTCAAGCCCAGGATAGCAGGGCTCAGATCAGAGCCAGATCAGGCCTAGATGGGTGGAACTGGCACTTGGCTGTGTCCTCCAGATTAACCAAAGTCAGGTTTAAAGTGTCCAGTCTTTGGGGATTTCAACCAAACTCTGCTAAAATCACACAAACCCCAAAGAGCACCTGGAGGATTCGTGCAGAGTTACTCACTCTGTGTCTGAAACTGGAGCCCTTTCCTTTTTTAAAGACATCCAGAAAAATGCAGCAGGAAACACTCACACCTTTCACTGACCACACCTGGATGTCCTCATTTGTGATTATAAAAGTGAACTGCACTTACATTTAAAGTTAACAATATGGACTGGAAACCTGAATGGGATTTATGTGCTCACTTTGAGGATGTGACTCAGTCCTGAGTGGCCCTTTGCCTGTCCCCAGGGTGGCTGTACACTCAGGACATGTCCCCACACAGCAAACACACCCCCCCCTTCACTGAGCAAACACCCCACTTTTCTACAGGCAGCTCCTCATCCTAAATCTCCAAACTCTGAATTTCAACAGTCCAGTTTTACTTCTCCTTTCTAATTTTGGTTCCCTGGTACAGTCCCTGACTAACAATCTTCCTTCTCCCCCAGGTGCTTTGTATTCCAGGAAGTTCACCATAGATGGGGAGCAGATGTCTCTGCAGGTGCAGGATACTCCCTTTGTCTCATTGGAGGTAAAACAACTGCTCTGTGCTTTTCAACACTCTTCTGTCTAATGTTTGTTGCCAGCACTTCCATCTGTAATTAACTTTGCTTAGCAGCAGGAAAACACCTGGGCTCAAACCCAAGACTAATCAAGGTACCTGAAACTCCACCAAAACGAGCTCTTGAAGGTGTTAAATCAGGCTCCTTCAGGAGCAAGTCAAAATTAAAACGATTTTATTTCCAACACATTACTAAACAGCAGTGAAATCACAATCTGGTTCCCTCCTGCCAACAGCTTGATTGTTTTATTTTATGTCAAGTGGTTTCTGTCCCTGCATGGCAGAAAATTCACCTGCCCAGAGGCCCAGCTTGGACCTTCCTCCTCCACACCCAAAGAGTCTCAGATTTAGAGAAGTGTTTCTTTCCAAGGGGCCAGGCTTCACAGCAGTTGTCATTTCCAGCTATGGTGCTTTGCCCTGCTTTCCTTTCTCTGGTTTTAAATGAATTCCCTTTTTTTTTTTTTTAAGGTGTTAGCATTTATCACACTCTTCTTTCTATCAGTGTTCTAGACAGTTGGACTTGATGATATGAAAGACCTTTTCCAGTATTAATGATTCAATAATTCTATTATGATATTAAAGACCTTTTCCAATCTTAATGATTTGATGATTCTATTATATTCTAGATTTAATATGCTACCAGGAACTTCTTTCTAGAAATATTTTTCCAAGCAGGATTTATGCTTTCTATCCTTGAAGATCTGCTTCACGTGCAGAACAAGAGGATGAAAACAGGAAATGTAATGAAATTTGGGGTTACATGAACGGTGGAAATCTCATGAGTAATAATTCCTACAGAACAGCAGAGATTTCATGATAAAATCAGGTATTCTCATTGCACCACCAGGCTTGAACTTCTGGGTGTGGCCTTAACCTCAGTCTAAACTGAGGTTTGGCCAATATATGCTGGGATGGGGACAGCACCTTCTGTCCTCGTGTGGCAGGGGCTGTCCTGGACACTCTGCACCCCTTGTTTTACCTGCACACACCCACGTGTGCATCTCTGTGCTGTAAATGTAAATTCCATCCCAAATTCACACAACGGGATAAGCAAAGCTCCTGCAGTTCCCATTTCCATCTTCTGTGAGTGGAGGGGGATGAAGGGGAAAGCTTTGCTGCAATCCCACTCTCTGCTGGGCTGGGGTGCACAGAGCAGAGGGCAGGAGCCCTCACTGCTCTGGACACTCAGAAGCAAACAAAAAACTGCAGTGGAAGCTCTCCAAATACTCAAGTGGGATTTAGCAGCACAAAGGTCTTTGCCAGTTTGTCCTGCAGAGAGGAGGGGAGAGATTGGGCCCCACTGGGATTGCTGATAAACATTTAACAAAGGGAATCCCCTCTGTCTTCTGTGCCGTGGACAAAGGAGGGATTGCAATAATCTAGCTCCTGTTTTCAGACCACATAAATGCTATTTTCCTGTTTAAATTAATAATGCCCTTAATTAAGTCTGGTCACTCCAGAGCTGTACAAAATTAGTCAAGCCAACAGCTGAGGCTGCTTAGTGAGAAATTATTTGAAATTAGTTAGGAAGGAGGTCCATTTTCTTTGTCCCAGTCCCTGTTCCAAGATCTCCCACAGACACCCTTATCTCACCCTGTGTCTGTCAGCTTCAAATGATGTATCTGCAATAACTGAAGGGACTGTGACAGAACAGGGTAAGACTGAGAAAAGACTGGATTTTTTATTTAAATCCTTAAGGAAGAGAGTTTCCTGCACTCTGCAGGCTGGGTACAGTGTTTCAGGAGGAAATCATGTGGAAACAGTCAGGATTCAAGCCCCCAGAAACGTGGAAGTGTAAGAGAGAAACAGAAGCAGGTTTTGTTGGGTGATTCATTGCTGCTTGGCCTATACACTGCAAAGGCCTGTGTGTTTTAAAATTCATTCTGGAGCAGAGATTTCCATTTTAAAAGTAGCCCATTAGCCTTTGATTTCCTGAATAAAGCATTCCACTTGGGATTATCCATCCATCCATCTCACTACTGGGTGGGCCTAGCTGGAGTGAGGAAGAATTTCTGCTGTTCTCTGAATGATGTGCACCTTCTCCAAACCCATTTTCAAAGCTTGCCAGTGCAATTAGTTCCCTTTTTTTTTTTTTTTTTTTTGCCATGAAAGGGTTTTGCTGGTGAAAAGAGGCTTCCAGGACATGGAGAGTGGCTAATTATCCCCAGACTGGCTACAGCCCAGACCCCAACAGTGCAAATTCAAATTGCCCTTCTTCCCACAGCCTGCCCCAGCCTGGCTGGAGTTCACTCTCATTAACCTTTCCAGCAAGGCTGTTGGGGAGGATCACTCTTCATCATTCTGTTTTGGGCTTTGGGGAGGAGTGATAAGAGTATCTGATAACCAATTTCACTGCTCACAGGATTTAGCTGTGAGCTGGCAAGGGCAAAGAACCTCAAGGTGTTGTCAGTGCCTCTGTGGGCAATAATGAAATATTTACAAAGGGCACTTGGCTGGAAGAACTCCTGAGGAAAGTTTTAAGCCTAATTTACACTCTGACCCTTCAGAAATTCTGCTTCCTCCTCACAGAAGAGCTTGTCCATAGCTCTTTTACTGCCTGACCTGCCAGAAGAAAAACTGATCAGTTTTACTCATTCTTTTCCACCTCTGCTCTCTGAAGTTAGGCTTTATAATTCATATTTAGGTTTAAATAGAAGTGATCTGTTTGGAGAGAGAGTGCTGAATACTAAATTCTGTTAGAATTAATGTGAATGGCAGATACGTATTCTACAGATTAATAGAAAATGGAATGTATTTTCTATTAGTCTCACTGAAGCTGATGAAAATTTCTTGGGTGGAATTTAGCAACAATAATAAAAATTCGAGCTCTCTATTTGTGATGCTGTACTCCCCTTAAAATACACATAGAATGTGCTTGTTGGATATAAAAAAAATTACACCATTGCAGAAATGTAATATTGACAGGAGTGTCAGTTTTGCAAAGCAAGCTTGGCTGCAGCAGGGATCTCCCTCTCTGGCTGGGTGATCCCTGCCCAGCAGGGATAACAAAGAGGAGAGGATTAACTGGAAATAGCTTCATCCTGACAAGTGTGCTGATCTCTTTTCAAGCCCACAGTGCTCTATTGAGCTTTGTATTCCCAGAGATGGTTGTTGTTGGGGCTCTAAATAGGAGTGGTGATGGGCTCAAGAAATGTGTGACCAGAAAAAGATGACATGAACCCATCACTGCTCCACAATTTACTGATGAGACTTCACCTGATTTTCAGTTCCAGTCGTTGGTTCTTGGTAACAAATTGATTTTTTTTTTCAAAAGAACTTTGACTATCTGGGGATCTGCAAGGCAGGAAAACCTGGCAGGCTTCACCAGAATTAGTGAGAGTCTCTGCCCATGGAGACATTGAATAAAGAATTGGAAAAAGCCCGAAAAGTCACCTTGGGGGACAACTGTTCCCTTGTCATGGTGTGACAAATCTGATGGATTTTTTATGCTCTTACTGAGCCCATCACAGTTTTATCCACAATAAGGGTGTGAGTTTCTGACTGCTTGGGTACAAGAGAATTCAGAACTGACTATTCAAAGCAGTATTTTGGCTTTTCTCTTTAACCCATTTGCTCTGACCCCTCTCCACCCCACATTACTGCTTTCCTGCAGTGTGGGATCAGGGACTGATGGAAAAGACCTCCAGGGGTGAATGATCCCCACCTTGCACTGAGTGCCACATCCAGTCATTCCTTGAACACTTCCAGGGATGGGGACACCAAACCTCCCTGGGCAGCCCCTTCCAAAGCCTGACCACCCTTTCCATGGAGAAATTCCTCCTGATACCCAACCTAAACCTCCCCTGGTGCAGCTTGAGGCTGTTTCCTCTTGTCCTGTCACAGGGAGCAGACTTGGCTACAACCTCCTTTCAGGGAGTTGTAAGGAGTGACCAGGTCCTGATGCCTTAAGTTTTAGGTTTTTCTGTTCTGCTTGGGTGTGCTTTGCTGTTGTGCTTGGGTGGTGAAGACAAAACAGTCCTAGTCCAGCTAAGGACTCAAGGACA